GTGATTCAAACTGGTTAAATTAATAATACTGTGCACACCAATCCGCCTCGGCAATTAAAAAATGAGAAAATAACCTCATTGACCAAAAATGCCTTATAATATACGATTTTAACCAACTTTTTTGGATTTGCCAAAATGACCAACTAAATCGCAATGCGATCGATAATTCGCAACGCGATCTCCGGTATCGCAAATCAATTTTCAGATTCGCAACGCGAACTTCGACTATCGCAATGCGAACTTGGACTATCGCAATGCGAATATGTAAATCGCAATGCGATAGTCGGCTATCGCAATACGAATATGTAAATCGCAATGCGATAGTCCGCTATCGCAATGCGAATATGTAAATCGCAATACGATAGTCGGCTATCGCAATGCGAATATGTAAATCGCAATGCGATAGTTGGCTATCGCAATGCGAATATGTAAATCGCAATACGATAGTCGGCTATCGCAATCCGAATATGTAAATCGCAATGCGATAGTCGGCTATCGCAATGCGAATATGTAAATCGCAATGCGATAGTCCAAGTTCGCGTTGCGATTTATTCCAAGTTCGTTGCGATAGTCCAAAATAGCAACGGCGGTATTGCATTTGTTTTTTAAAAATTTTCTCTAAAAAGATAGTATTCGCGCGGACGTGTCGAAGACACGTATTACCACGACCACGACCACGACGACGACCACGACCACGACCACGACCCGACCCGACCCGACCCGAGACGGACGGCGACGGCGGCGGCGCGCGAGAGTCCCCCTTGTTCTCTATCACTCAACAAGGAAGTGGGAAAGCCAAGCCTTAAATACCATTCCCAATAGTGTTTCCAATACTATGTGGGATTGAGCATTACCAACACTTGTTCCCAATACTATGTGGGATTGAGCCTTAAATAGTGATATTATTTTTGAATGTTTTGCTTAAAATTACAATAATCGCGATTGATTGTAGATTGACATTTAATTATGACATATTTAATCGTATAATACTAATGCAATTGGTTGCTGATTCAGTTGTTTTAAGGTGCATGATTGTTAATTGTTTCCTAAATAATCACATTGTATTGGAAACAAGTGTTGGTAATGCTCAATCCCACATAGTATTGGAAACACTATTGGGAATGATATTTAAGGTTTGGCTTTCCCACTTCCTTATTGAGTGATAGAGAACAAGGGGGACTCTAGCGCGCCGCCGCCGCCGCCGTCCGCGCGAATACTATCTTTTTAGAGAAAATTCTTAAGAAACAAATGCAATACCACCAGTCGTTGCGATTTTGGACTATCGCATTGCGATTTACATATTCGCATTGCGATTTACATATTCGCATTGCGATAGTCGAAGTTCGCGTTGCGAATCCGGAGATCGCGTTACGAATTATCGATCGCATTGCGATTTAGTTAGTCATTTTGGCAAATCCAAAAAAAAGTTGGTTAAAATCGTATATTATAAGGCATTTTTGGTCAATGAGGTTATTTTCTCTTTAAAAATTTATTATTATTTTTGAGATTTTGGATTCCAACATCGCATATGTATGAATACAAACGTTTATTGTTAAAAAATTAAAAATATTTGAATAAATACTACCTTATCTTCAACTCAAATTTATTCAAAAAAATTAATATTATTGTTTTTTTGTTTGACAAGTTGGTGTTGAATTTGCACTTAATTAAACTTCCATCCATACTAATTGTTTCAATAAGATAAAATATTAAATTCTTAAATAAGATTAAAAAATTGAATTTCGATGTTATGAATAATTTAAATTAAATTATGAAAATTAGTTTATTGTTCAATTTAAATTAATTGATTAATAAATTGAATATGAAGTATTGGTGAGGTAATTTGTTAAATATCATTTTTCTTCATTTTAATGAGTAATTAATATTGCTGCGGGAGTTATATTAAAAATATCATTATAAAAACCTTTTGCCTTTTATTTTTAAATTAAAAAAACTTTAAATCTTTTATTTATAATTAAACGCGAAAAATAGATTTTTTTATAAAATATTTTTATCGTTCAATTAATAGTTATTTATTAAATCTTTACAAAAGATGCTTGAGCTATGCGTGAGAAAGTTTTTAAAAAATGAGAGGAGGCTTTGAAGGGGGAAAACACAAGCTCCGGGGGAGAAAAATTGTACACTGGAATGCATGGCTATGTGGATCATAAAGCTGGGTTTCGAAGACAACAAACTCTTCCCAGTGTGAAAGCTGGTGGCTCACATGGACCTCTTAGAGCTTCTGCCCACATCAGGGTCTCAGCAAGGTTTGATTATCAACAAGACATGTAAAGACTACAAAGAAACTGGTTACCGTGGTTACGGAGATTCATGTAAGTTCATGCATGACCGTGGAGATTATGAGTCCGGATGGCAGTTAGAGAAGGATTGGGAAGAAGCGGAGAAAACAAGGAAAAGAAATCTTGCATGGAGATGATGAGGCAGGGGCTAGGACTGAATATTCGATTGAGCCGAGTCAAAAAAAAATTGAGTTATTTGAGTTGACGAGTCGTATTTTATGACTTGAACATAACTTAAAATTTAGTCGAGTCTAATTATTAGAGTTTTTATACAATTTGATACTTGAGCATGATATTACTTGTAAATTACTTGATGATTAAGTCTTATAATGTGATTTTGATTATGTGATAAAAATATAACTTATGAAAGTTTAATTTTGATTTATGTTCTCTGATAATATCTCCAATCTAATTTTCGTCTAGACCAAATTAAGTGTATTATATTCTTGTGTCAAAACCTATGTTTAGTTGATTATATAACTAAATTGAGGTTCAGTGTGTGCTTAATGTTTATGCATGCAACCTTGGATTTTATTCTATGTTGGATAATTGTGACTTGTAATTAATGCAATCTGATTTTTATATATAGTTCTGTTAAGGTGTTTGGTTACTTCATGAGATGTCAATATATACATTGTGATTAGAAGAGTTAGGACTTGAATTATATGTCAATTTCTCTATATCTCTGCTTCCGAAAAAGTAATAAAGAATTCATTTTGAAGTAAATGACTTTCTGAAATCCTGATAATCCGATTAGCTAAGTTCTTTTGTTACAATACTCTTTGTTCGGACAGTAGTGATTGCAAGACTCTTCTGCAATTTTAGAATATGAATTTCGTAAATCTTGTTGAGAGCTTTTATTTTCTTTGTCCAATATCTGTATATTACTCTTTGTAAAATCTTGGCTTTAATATCTACAATTTTTTTTTTGTTCATTCATGTGTCTAGTTATCACTTTAAATGTCCGGGTCGTCAATGCCATTAATTTCCTATTTCAAGTGACATGTGTCATAATCTGATAATTTTAATTTTTTATATAAAATTAAAAAATAAAACTATATTTTTTTTAAAATAAAACACAAATTTTAAAATAACCAAAAAACTTTAAAAACTTTCATATCAACCCCTAAACCCATGTCGCCCTCCTCCCTTTTCGTTGACGAAACTCCACCCGACCTCACCTCCCTCGGCGACTAAAACTCCTATGAAATTGTGACCGACCAACGACGAATCAACGTTTTATATCTTTTGAACCTTAAGATGAAAATTGCGATCTCACACGATTCCGATGGCCAATCAGCGACAACTAATGTGGCATATAACTAGGATAATGGCAATGACTACGTCAACGGCAGTGGTCGTGGCCAGAAAGGGCGGTGATGACGGGTTAGTGTTAGGATTTTGAGATTTTAGGGATTTTGAGATTTTAGGGATTTTGAGGTTTTTTTATAATTTAAAAGAAATTAGGTTTTTTTATAAAAATATAATAATATTTTTAATATTTTAAAAAATAAATTTGAAAATTATCAGATTGTGACATGTGTTACTTAACGGAAAAAACTAACAGTCGTTACGTCTCGGGCACCTAAAACAGTCACGTTTGTAATGTTAAACACTTAGATTGTCCAAAAATATTGTAAGCACCTATCGAGAAAAAAGATATAGTTTGAACATTTATTTGTGTATTAAGCCTAGAATCTTTTAGACACATTTTTTAATATATTTATTTGTCTAAAAAATTATCTTAGAAGGGGATAGTAATATCTAGACTTGTTTTAATTATGTTCTTTAATTTAATTATTTAATCTTATTCATATTTATTAGTTTTATTTGTTATCTGTGCACTTTATTTATCGAGTTATTTGAGAAAGTAAAATTTTCATAATTTATTTTTCATCTCACATTTATTTGGATCGAAATAATATACTATTTTATTTTATCCATTTATCTTTCAAATTTTATAAAAGAAATTATATGAATTTAAATTTTATAAACGAATAAATAAATTAGAAATATCAGAATAATATATTTTCATGATTTTTTATAAATTTTTTTATTTTAATATTTTGAATTCAACTAGTTAAAAGAAAATATTATAAGGATACTTTGGTAAAATACATATTATAAAAACTTAATTTTTTTAACCAAACACTATAACCTTACATTCTTATATTATAAGGTATTTGAACTTTATTTTGATATTATGTATCATTTCGCAACTTTAATTTTACATTAATATTAAAATTATATCAATATTGTGAATAAATACTTATTTATAAAATATGAAATTATATGCTCAAAGTTACTCAAATAACAATAACTCACATGTGAAAATCATATTAATAATTTATTAGAAAACAAAAAAATAATTTTATGAAAATAATTTTAAATATTGCAAGTCTTTGAATAAGTTATCCAATCTTTAACCGTAATTTGGCATTAATTTTTTTCCTTTTATTTATGGTAAATAGTTGACAGTTTACCTCAAATTATGTTTAGTTTATAAATGAGAAAACCCAAAAAAACTAGTAATGCTTAAAGGGAAGAAAATCACAATACTGATCATATGAGAGATTCACAAAATCAAAGAGATAACATACCTTAGATGTTAATAATCATCACCATAGCTACTATCTATATAAATCTTCATTCAGAATTGCAGTCCAAAATATTTTGGTATTATACTAATTACTCAAAACAATGAAGTTTGTTTCTGGTTTTACAGTGTTTCTTTTGTTTGGTTTTGCTTTGGGAAATGAAATCTTCAGTGAAGAAACAATTGCTGCTTTCAATTTTGATATGGGAAATGAAGTCGTTGATGAAAAAATAGTGTCTGCTTTTAATGTTATGGATTATGGAGCTGTTGGAAATGGCCAAGTAGACGACTCCCAAGTAAGTATCCTTTGTCTGCTTTTTGCTCATTTTGCCCTTGTAGTGGTATTATCCCTTAGGTCATGGTTCGAACAGCTATGTCTACAGGATTCACGGAACAGTATATTACCTTGTAATTGAGTATTAAAAAAATATTTTAACCTAATCTTTTTGTTGCATTGTGAATCAAGGCATTCGAGAAAGCATGGAAAGGTGCTTGCAATACAAATGTGGGTGAAGGGATTGCAACGATTGTAGTCCCACAAGGGAAAACCTTCCTTCTAAACCCACTCGTCTTCCAGGGTCCATGCCTTGCCAAAGCCCTTCATTTCCAGGTTCTTTTTCTATGCTTTTTTTTCATGTTAAAAACCATACTATCTAGACTCAGCGACTTCAATTGTAAAAGGAAAGATTATTTTCCCTAGAGATTTTAAATTTAAATAGTTGTGTCTGCAGAGTGCGTGGGTACTAAAATCCCTTACTATTTTGAATATCCTCTCATGAATGAATGGTGTTTTTATAGGTTGGAGGAACCCTAATAGCACCCCAAAGCACATCATGGGGAAATGGAGGAATGGGTGAATGGATTTATTTCCAAAGTGTTGACAATCTCATGCTTGATGGACATGGCACCTTTGATGGAAGGGCTCCATTTGGTGGCCACTTTGCACGAAAACATCAATTTTTGATTTTGTAATCACTTTCAACAACATTTTCTCAGTAATCACATTAGTGTTAACTTTTAATCTGATTTCCTCGTATTTATTTCTTAATTTTCAGGGAATGTTCTTCGATTGCCAACGTCGACCGGGAGTAAGTTCTCTAAGAAAAAAAGGGTTTATTTTATTCAATAAGATTGAGATCAACTTACTATGAATGCTTGTGTGTGTTTTAGGCTTTACATTTTCACAATTGCAATGGGCTTAAAGTAAAGGGACTGACACATGTAGATAGTCCAAGGAGTCATATTTCAGTAAATGGTTGTAAAAATGTTGTCCTCTCCGATCTTCACATTAAAGCACCACAGGATAGCCCAAACACCGATGGAATCGACATTTCTAGCTCTTCCAATGTTCAAATTCTTGATTCCACTATTCAAACTGGTACTCCATCTCCCTCCCTAACTTGTTCTAACAATATCGACAATCGATTCGAACTCACGTACACTTTTGTTCCAATAGGTGATGATTGTGTTGCCATTAACGGTGGTTCATCTTTCATCTACATCAACCGTGTTAACTGCGGTCCGGGCCATGGGATCAGGTCTTTGTTCATCGCCATGCTTTTCTATGTTTATGATTTCAACTCATTTTTGCTGTTAGTATTCATCGGAATCGGCTCGATTTGCAGTATCGGGAGTCTCGGAGATGGAGCATATGACACTGTCGAGGAAGTACATGTGACAAACTGCAACTTAACCAACACTCAAAATGGTGTAAGAATCAAGACATTTCAGGTGAGCCAAGTGGTTAAGAAGACTATTTTGTACGAGTTTGGATCAATTTCTGATGCCATTTTTATGAATAAATTGTAGGGTGGTTCGGGTTTCGCCCGAAAGATCTCATTCGAGCATATCTTGTTGAACAACGTCGATAATCCGATCATCATAAACCAATTCTATCAGGACAAGGGAAGATTACGTTCATACGGAATATGGAAGAAAGCAGCGGCCATTCAAGTGAGCGACGTCACATATTCTGATATTCGGGGAACATCGGCCAACGACCAAGCTATCGATCTGGATTGCGACAACGTGGTAGGTTGCAGTAACATACAAATGCGTAATATAAACATAGAAACAAGTGTTAATCCTCCCAAAATCTATGGCTCCTGCAACAATGCTCATGGAACTGCATTTGACGTTCACCCTAAAGTCCCATGTCTGTCTTGAACATCTTGGATGATTTAACCTTTATCACGTTAGTATATAACTGTACTTTTATCTTTTTTTGAATGTTTTCTTTCTTCTTTTAAGCATTTTTAAATAAATTCGAAAAACGAGAGATTATTAGGTAGGATTTTCCAACCTTCAATTGCAGTACCTTTCAATAATAATGTTTCCATGCTTTCCTTTTGAAATAAATTCAATGTTTCTTTTGATTACAAGTAACCCAACTCCTTATATAATAATGTTCCTTTTGAATGTTTTTTTCCATTTTTAAAGATTTTTAACCTTCTTTAATCTATTCAGAATTTTCTTAACTAATTGATAGCGTACACATATCTTACAGACGCAACTGCTCGAACCCATAATTTATAGAGAATAATATTTACTTTAATCACTTAAGCCACTTGGTGGTTCATTGTTTGCCATATTTATGTTCAAATACGGTGGTGGAGTGAATTAATACTCCAAACAAAAACAAGTGGTTCAGAGGAAAAAAATGGTAGAAAGAGAGAGCTTTGAGTAGAAAGCAAGCAACACAAAAGGGCGACCAAAAACCTTCACTTTCATCTTTCCCAATATGAAAGCTAAGCATATATGCCAACTTTGCATCAACACCAACATCATCCATATTTTAAGCTGCATCTAACTCGCCTCTATTCCCTTTATGGGATTCTTCATATTTACATCTCTCTCTAACCAAAAGCCAGGATATGTCTAGAGTTTAATACAAAACTCGATCGAGTTTAAACTTTAAAAATGCAAGTTTGATTCGAGATGAAAATTGAACGATTCAAACACTTGAGCTGAACTTGATAAGTTGAGTACTCGAATTATGATCCGTCCATAATTTGAGCTGAACTTGACAGAACCAAATCAAACTCAATATTTATTCTTTTCTTTTTTTGAGCCAAACCTGAATAGCTTACAAAGAAAGAAGTCTGATTTGCACCCAAGTTACTAAAAAGTTAGCTGCTCAATAATCAAATCTTTAATTGCCAGCCTACACTTTTGTCCCCCTACAGTTGCCTTTATATATCTCTATATCAGTTTTCTGCTCTTTGAATAGTAGTTTGGACATTAGAAGCAATTGCCCTTTATTTTTCTGGCATTGCTGAAACCGAATCATGGAAAACAGGGTTTGCATGTTCCTTCTCTATTCAACAATGGCGGCCACTCTTTTCGTACATTGCGGTAAGCTGATTTATGCTACATTATTGTTTGAGTTCTTCAAAATTACTACGTAACATCTGTGTTAGCGTGTTAATGTTGCATATAGATACATATTCGACGCGATATATTTAATTTTTTCAAAAAAAAAAAAGATTATGTATCGTATTCATATCTAAATATGCGTCGAACACGTCTTGAATCAAGAATTCGATTCAAACTATACGATGAACAACGAACTGATTGCCTAAACACGAAGAAATTGTTATTATTTAATCAATGTTTGAGTTTCTGAAATGTGATGAAGAGTCAAAAAGTTGCATATGGAATATGCTTAGTTTGCGTTGCCACCAAGTTTCTGCACTCATCTAACTGTTGTTGTTATTTTTGACAGATGCAAGAACAACAATGGAACTAATCAAAAATCCAAATCATGCCATAAAGCACACAATGAAATTGCAGCTAATGAGTAAACTTATGAGTTTAGTGATTGAACAACCCACTGATACATCAAATTCTCAACCTTATGTAAGCCCTCCATTTTCTTTGCCACCTTTTGATTCTTTGCCCCCTTTGAATTCTCCTCCTTATTGTGTTAACCCTCCTCCAACTCCTATTGGAACCTCACCTTCACCACCCTCTCCCTCTTACAACTTTCCTCCTCTTTTTCCGGGCCAGAGCCCCCCACCAGGCCCACCCGGAACTCCGAATCCACCCGAGACAGTTCCAAACCCACCTAGCATTTTTCCAAGCCCACCTGGAGCTCTAAATCCACCTGCAATAGTTCCAAGCCCACCTAGTACCTTTCCAAACCCGCCCGGAACTCCAAATCCACCACAAATAGTTCCAAACCCACCTAGTGTTTTCCCAAGCCCACCACATGCGATACCGCCACCGACAGTTTATGTGCCAAGCCCATCAGGGCCGACACTGAGCCCACCGTTTAATGTTCCATCACCATTTGGGTTTAATCCAAGTCCGCCAGAGTTTCTACCACCGATTGTGTACCCTCCCCCGACGGTTCCACCAGCTCCCCGTACGGGTCCAACCACGGCATTATGGTGTGTGGCTAAGCCATCAGTTCCTGGCCCAATCATGCAAGAGGCAATGAACTATGCATGTGCATCTGGGGCAGATTGTGATTCAATTCAGCCTAGTGGGTCATGTTTTGAGCCTAACACCGTTTTTGCCCATGCTTCCTATGCTTTTAATAGCTATTGGCAGAAGACAAAGGTTGCTGGTGGCACATGTGAGTTTGGAGGCACAGCCATACTAGTCACAGTTGATCCAAGTGAGTTTCTCAATTAAATCTATGTATGATACTATATTAGGCTTTTTCAATAGGGGCTAAGGGTAAACTACATGTTTAGTATATAAACTATTACTTTTGTTCCTTTTTACTACATAAACTTTATTTTGTTTTAAAACCATACCTAATGTTTAGGTTTTATTTTGGTATCCCATTTGTTAAAAACTTAACGGTGATATTGAAGTGTCACCATAAGGTAAAGCCACGTCATCATTAATTTTTTTAAATACCACGTTAGCAGTTCTATTAATTTGTCAACAGTGAGGTACCAAATTGAAACATAAGCTAAACGTTAGATATTGTTTTGAAAATAAATAAAATTTAGATACCAAAACAAAACAAAAATAACAGTTTAGGTATTGAACGTATAGTTTACCCTCGATTATAAAGCATCTTACTTATTTGTGTTAACTTTTGGTGTCATGAAAACAGGTTATGATGGCTGCCATTTTGAGTACCAACAATGATCTCTTGGTTGTCATTTTGAGTATCAACAATGATGGGTGAATACAACAAGAATGATTTCTTTTTTAAGTCTTTTCCCCCTTTTTTTAAGAATAAAAAAGCATAAATTTTGCAAGTACAAAAAATTGCATGGTATAGATTCACTTAGGCCATTGGTTTAGTTTTTTTGTTTTCATTTTAGGCCTATAATTATAAACAGTTCTTGCCTTTGAAATTTTCATTTGTACATTTGGATCTCACTTCTTCCTCCTGATATATGCATGACATGGGAGATCATGAAAAATGTTAAAATCAGATTATCAATGAATTGGATAAAAATAAATTTGGATTCCTGTTAGTATATTCAACTTACACAAGTTATCCAACAATGGAACATCAGAATAATTTTTTCATTATTTCAGATCATAAATCAAAGATGCTAATCCAAATGGTTCAGTACACTGATGACTTAAAGGGTACAAATCTATTTGAAGTATTACAACACAAAAGACAACCTTCATTGTGAATAAAGATGAAACCAATTACAAGCATCTTATTTCCTTTTGTTGTGTGGAATATGTATAAATGGGACCGAATCATCTACGGATTTCTCTTTGGTTTCCGACTAACAGTGATGCGCCTTGAAACAGACCGACCGCATCGTCACAAACTCCTCGGCGGCCGAAGGATGAATCCCCACCTTCAAACATCAGTAACAGCAATGATAAAAACTATGTCAAAGCTAGCTTTGCTCATGCCAACACATAATTCAGAGTCTATGGGTTCAACTATTTGCTACTTATTGGCTCTACCTAGAATCTAACTCCTTTACTGAATTGATTTAAAATAGCAAATGCAGCTTGATGTTAAATCAATCCATTGTATACTATTGGACTGCATACGTCAATCCGAAGACTTACCGTGCTGTCAAATTGTGCCTTAGTCGCTCCACACTTTAGTGCAACAGCAATGCCCTAAAAAGAAAAACCAGAATCAGAACATTATCAGGTCTAATATGCAATGTGGTTCACCTTTTCCCATAATGCAGCCTATTGCAAGAGAAAATAATGCATGAGGCCATCAGGCATGTGACATATTGTGTGGTTCACTTATTTCCCTGATGCAAGCTTATGCAAGGAAAACGGGCCTATCGAATCATTACCGTTTGTATAATATTTCCAAAAATAATATCTATGTTACTCCAGCTCAATTTCTTGAAATATACATTTCCAATACATATATATACATAAGATACGACACTTTAAAGAACCCCCAAATGCATGAAAACAACTGGAAACAAAATTATTCCCATGTCGGACAGACCCATATCCAACAATCACGTCCGAGTCTTGAGTTACATAAATAATGGTTCACCTAGAAAATCATCTTTTGTCATCAGGATTTTCAATATTCTCTAGTACTTGAACTTTCCACCATGGCAAAAGGCAACATCATTCACAGATAAAAAAATATTCAGGGAAAGACAAAATGGACTCGCTCAATCCAATTAAGTTTTCTTGGGGCTACGCAGAAGTTACACTATTCAAAATCAGACCACATTACCAACTACATTCATATTGCTTACCATAAGATTTATTTAAGTTACCAAGGCATCCGTATTTATACTGAAACATGAAGACAAACATCAAAATAACCAACAAACATGGTACCTGCATAATTTCAGGTGCATCTGGCCCACACATAGATGCCCCGAGTACCTTATCAGTCTCCTGATCAACGACTAACTTCATGACTGTCTTTTCTTGCCGTCTAAGCATAAGAGAAATTCAAAAATTGCAAAACACGAAAATATTAGATGCTTAATTGACACAATATTAGATAAAATAGATTATTTGAAAAGTATATTAAATGACAAGGAACTTACTAAAGAAGCCAAAAAACAAATAACCCAAGAACATCCAAAATAAATAACGAGAATAACAAAACCAAATTCAGATCTTATAAAAGTTGATCCTTTATGTCATAACTGTTGGTAATGCTCAATCCCACATAGTGTTGGAAACACTATTGGGAATGGTATTTAAGGCTTGACATTCCACTTCCTTGTTGAGTGATAGAGAACAAGGGGGGCTCTCGCGCACCGCCGCCGCCGTCCGTCCGTCTCGTCTCGTCTCGTCTCGTCTCGTCTCGTCTCGTCTCGGCTCGGGTCGGGTCGGGTCGGGTCGGGTCGGGTCGGGTCGTGGTCGTGGTCGTGGTCGTGGTCGTGGTCGTGGTCGTGGTCGTGGTCGTGGTAATACGTGTGGTCGTGGTCGTGGTCGTGGTAATACGTGTCTTCGACACGTCCGCGCGGATACTATCTTTTTAGAGAAAATTCTTGAGGAATTTCTCTTTGAAAGAAACAAATGGAAAATGTGAAAGATATCAACTGATATTTATAGGCTGCTGAGGACTGTTTGAATTTCAAATAATAACAGCTGATTAATTTATCAGAAATTAAACAGTTTATTCCTAAATTAAATCAGAAACGTTAAGATGTACCTGGTACAATACCACCACCAGTCCACTCCGGTTTCGGGTGTACGGAATTTGGAGCGACCGTGTTAACCTCGGGGGACGGTCCGCCTACTGCAGCGATTACACACATCGAGGCGAATTCGTTTCTAAGGCAGTGGTTCTTACCACGACACGGTTTACGAATCTGTTCTTCTTAATTACTGTTTATATTTTCAGTCAGTGCTAACGGTGTAGTTTTGCAGTTCATATATCCAACAATAACCTTCATGACCTAAAGGCTAAAACTTAGCAAACCACATCCACATCATGAAACCACAAATACGATTATACATAGAATGTCAAACTGCATCCCAAAGCCACATTACACAAGCTCTTCAATGTGCTCTAAATTATCCATGTTGAACACCTTAACGTTTATGGGTATGTCACTTTGATCTTTGAAACTAATATAAAAAACTTGTGATAAAACAAGAGGTCTCCACGTCCAAACCCAATTCTTGAATCCATATAATATAGTAAAAGATGCAGACTAAGCCATATGTTATACAACCTAATTGATAGGTGAGCCTGTCAGAGGAAGTAGAGGGCAGGCAGGAAGGGCTAAGACATAGATGGCTACATATTTATCTAGGATCTGTTCAGCTGGAACCTATAGGTATTTGTTAAGGATTCTTCAATTATCATTTTAGGAAATGCCATTATTGTTAATGCACTACTTTTACTGAATTCAGAAAAAGTAAAATATTTCTTTTACAAATATCACCAAATCAATGCCACTATGTACTGGTTAACATTTTCTATCTTTCTATTTATTTTTCTGTGCAATAACATCTCAAAATAATCATCATACCCAGATATGGTATTCTTCATTGGATTGAAGGTTGATGTGAAAACCAGAATATCGCTATTTGCTTGTTCAATTGCCTGCTCTTCACTGAGACCAACAACAGAAAGTGGAGGGATGCTGCAAAATAGCAAATGGGCATAGCAATTAATTTGGGAAAAAGAGAAGTGAAATGAAAAGCAATAAGTTGGAAACTAACCACATAGAAAGATAACTAGATTTTGACACAATCACAAAAGTGGATGCAATCCACATAGAAAGATATCTAAATTAACCATACACACACCACAACACACCAACACCAACACCAGAGGCATGTAGTAAGATATAACTCATTACCTAAAAACCGCACAAGGTATATTGGTGTAGTCTGGTTTGCTGGATTCCCCACCAAAAACAGTTTTCTTAAAACATTTTCCCAAAAATAAAAGGAAAAACATGTAATTTCATAAAAATAAGAAATTTGATAGTTCAAGTGATCATATGTAATTGCTTCAGTGAAAAAAAGGGCTAGGTACAGGAAAAATGAAAGGGCTTCAGAAAGAACACTTGCCGCAAAGCAAGTTCCTTCCATTAAGGCTACTGGAGTCAGGTTCATCCGATTTGTAATATCACCAACAGCCCAGATACTGGGGATGTTAGTGCGTGAGTACTCATCCACCTGCAAGACGAAGATAGATTGGCCTCAGTACTGCAATAAAAATTCAACTAGGTCATGCCACTGTTATTTGTCAGGCAACAGAACATATAGAAATGCAATTAACATAATTATGTCAACCAAATATCCAACAAACCATTCACAACTAAAATAGGAAAATAAGTCATCTTCAAATATAGATCAAAGATATGGACAAAATGAACAATGTACACAAATAAAAAGAAATGTACAACACACGATGTAACTTAAAGAAGGCTATTTCAGCCTTACATAATATCAGCTCCAAAGCTACACATAGTTCTTTCTAAAGACGTGCCTTCTTAAAACGATGTCAGGAGACAAAGTAACTTAAAGAAGGTTATTTCAGCTTTATTTAATATAAGCTCCAAAGCATCACATAGTTCTTTGTAAAGGCAGGCCTTCTTCTTAAAACTATATCAGGAGTAAAAATGCATATCCTATCTGGTACCGATCAAAATATATTATCAAAAAGGAGCAAGTAATAAAGAAAGAAACAAAACATCATATGTGTGGCACGTAAGATCAATCACAATGAAATCATAATCATGCAAGCTAAGATTATCAGTAAAAAACCTAGTGTGCAGATGCCAACTCATTTCAATAAAAAAAACTTAAGGGTTTGTTTGGACACCACTGAGTAATTGCAAGAAAATGTAATTACCCCCCCCCCCCGGGGGAGAATTGAAGAGTGTAACTAAACCAATTTCAATGATTACCCAAACGGGATACATGTGTAATTACAAGCAATTGCACCCAAATACAATTACTTGGTGGCTTTCAAAACACATCCTCAATAATGTTTGATGATAAGAAATAAGAATAAGAGATGGGATAACAAGTAACCTTCACAGCTCCAGTGTTATCAAGTTCAACGCCTACAGCTTCCAAATTCAACTTCTTTGAGTTTGGTAACCTTCCTGAAATAAACAAAAGAAAATATTATCACCCAAAACAAAAGATGTATATTCATAATGACATAGCAGGCCATCAATACACCAAATTTGTGAAAGCATATGAAAGTTCAAATATAAAACATTCAGAAAACAAGCGACATTAAAACTATTAACCAGGAGCATGAACAAGTACTTATATAAAGTGCATCAAAATAATAGCAAGTAATTCAAATTTCACAAATAATTTAAAGAAATACAGAAGTAAAACAAGTAGGCCAAGCACAATATTCTATCTTGCAAACATAACCAGTAATAAAACATTATGACTGCGTGTAAGTTTGATCATCCAAACAAAGGAATTGTTTAATGGCAGAAATAAGCATTTAACATAGAGAGAAAGATGGAGACAAATGGCAATTTTATGACAAACTGAAGAAATGAAGCAGCAAGGAAGACATTCAGTCTCTAAACATTTAGAACTGATAGTAACCACAAAGAAAAGAAGCTGACTATTGTTTCAAAAAGGGCACCTGTGTGACTAAACAGTAAAGGTGTGCATTCAGTCAGTTCGGTCCATTCAATTAAATAGCATGATTCTTCTTAACAAACCACAATAACCGTCTAAACCAAATACACCAAATTGATAAAAAAAATAACTTTTTCTAAGATCTGTTCATAAAATAAATCATTGTAAATTAAGCATCTATATACATTGATTAAATAATTTGATTGAGTTATTTCATATTTAGGTATTTAATTCCATATTTAGATTAAATTAATTAAACATAAACATAAACTTATTATTCGAAAAACTTATTCTATTTTACTCGGTTTGGATTTCCAAAACTGAACCAAATAAACCGCCGAAACCTAATAAATTAACCATATAAACCAAAAACGTGACACTCTCGATTTATCAAGACTGACAAAGTGCATAATAAATTTTCTATAATTTTTTTGATAAAGTTAGAGGTCTCATTAAAAACTCCCTTCGTATTCGTCCACATACTAACATGTTAACGAACATTGGAAGGAAGAAAAGAGTACCTCATATTTCATTAAATAAAACACCCGGTACATATGAAAACACGGAATACCCTCATACGGGGATAGACACCATTACAAAAAACCAGAATCACCTAAAACTCTCACCTCCTCAACCACAAAGCCCAAAGACAATCACCCTATATTTTCTATAAAATTATCATTTATTTACATATTTTCAATCAAATGTGATTCCAAAATAAATCACAGTCTCACCTCAAGTTCACCTCCAAATGCTGCTCCATAGACCAAAATCTTTTTGGGAACACAACCACGAATAACACACCTATGAACAAATTGGGAGAAAAGTATACGCAAACATGGTATCCTAAAGATGTAGCAAAATTATTTAAGTTTAAAAAGATGATTTAACTTACGTCCCACAACTCCTCCAATGACTTCTGAACTGATTGGATGAAACGGGAGCTCGCAAATCCCAACCTTAATACATGAAATATGTTTAACTAATAGATATATAGACATAGCATTGAATTCATAACGGAAGAAAACAAGTAATCAAGAAGAAATTGTAGAAAATGGTAAAAAAAGTCAAACTAAATTCAAGAAAACAATGTGAACAAGAGCGAGAAGCTAATAACCAACACTCCATCACAGCAAAAATGAAAATGCACAATAGTTTAGTGATCAAAATTAATGGAAGAACAACAAAGTATTAAGATTTAAAAACAAAAAAAATGAGAAAACTGACAACAAAATAATTAATGATTTATATTTTATAGTAATATCTTAATGCAACAGAAAACAGGAATGATTAAACAAATTGCTTTCATATTTGACAGTAACAAATTAAAAATATTGAGGTTTAAGTGATCCGTTCCACTAAAAAATTTCCATTAAGCTGAACACCCACTGCAGCACCAGAAAAAAAATACACGAACATAAGGAAAACACCCCAACATATATTTCCATTTTCCATTGTTTCGTAGTAAGCAACTAAACACAGGTAAAGACTATTACTTCTTTCTTTTCTTTCGCATTTTGTATTATTAAACATTTTAACTTGGAACCGTTAGCTTACACTTAATCTATTCAATTATCACACTGAACCCCCCCCCCCCCAAAAAAAAAACTCTTTCAATTGTATACTCTTCACGGTACTAATTTGAAGATATCTTAGTCCAATTTGTGGAAAAACATCCAACTTAGAATCGATCACCATGTGTTATTATGAAAACCAGTATTTATAAAGAAAAAAAGATAAAGAAGTTGACAAATTTCGAACAAATCCGTTTTGCTTAACGTAAGAGAAGCTAGAAACTTGAGATACCTTAGCTCCAAAGTTAGCGGAGAATCTGGCAGCACGAACGCCACCGCTTCCGGCACCGATAACAAACAAGTCGAAATCATAATGAGCCTCCTCTTGATTGGTTTGGTCCATTTCTTCATCAACTAACATCTTCCTAGTCATGATTTACTTCGAAATGGAAACACGGATTCCACCAGTAAAAAAATAACAGAAGTCAAAAAAGCGTCAGCCACTTGTTGGATGATCACGATATAATAATAACATTAAAAAACATTGAATTTCGAAATGAAAGTTGATTACCTCAGTGAGTGAATGGGGTTGGGATGTGTAATATTATCGGTGAGGATGTAATATTATTGTGTTTGGTTAAAGGAATAAAAAATTATTAGAATTTATATTTAATTAAATTGTACTTATTACGTATTTATTTTTTTAACTAAGTTGGAAAATATTTATATATATTTTTTTAAAAATTTAAATTCATAAAATTTATATAATTTTTTTATAAAATTGAAAATATAAACAGGTTTAAAGAAAAGGTAAAATTTTATTTTAACCCCTGAACTTCATATAAAATTTTAATTATAGATTTTTTTGTAAATCTAAAATAGTTTAAGGATAAATTTGTAATTTAACATTCGTAGAATTTTTATTATTCAATGACAGAAGAATGATATTTTTGAAGAAAAAAATTTAAGGGCATTTTAGTCCAAAACACCGGTAATCCATCAATATCTAAGGAAATGCTGGTAATGACATTCCCGATAATATACTTAAAAAATTCACTATTGATAATCTTACATTACCGGAAATGAGATTTTCGGCTAACCAAACGGGGGGAATGTGGATTTCATTCTCATGAAAATCTCACATTTCCCAACCAAACTCCCCTAAGGATATAATATATATCTATCGACTATGAAAACTTATAAAATTAATGCTTGTGTTAACGGAAGTTATAAATTGACAATTTCTATAAAAAAGAAAAAGGAACTTTAGGGTAAAATAGGGAAGATCTTGATTATAGAACACATATTTGTTGAGTCATTTAACTACGAAAAATTATGAAATTATCATTTAATTTTAAAAATAACAATTTAGTCTATTGTCATTAAAATTTAATGACTGATGATATAACAATTAATAAAATTGATACGATTACAAATATAATTCACAACCTTTACAATTTATTTTAGTTTGATCTTAACTAAAAAAAAGACATAATGATAAAATTAGTCCTTGAAAATTTCATAAATGGTCACTTATTCTTTATTAGAGTTTAACCTTTAATAATTTGATTTTTTATAAAAATTAGCTCATATTGAATGAAACAATTAGTTGGCTAACATTCAGCGTATGATGTTAAGATATATTTTCTACATGTATTTAGTTACTGACTCATTATATGTCACTTAGAGTGATAATATTACATAAATCCCATCACTTAAATAATAATATTAAATGTATTTAATTACTACATTTTCTAACCTTGTGGTGACTTAAATATAACCTCTAGTGTACCCATTTAACTATAGATTACACGAACCTACTAGAAGTCATATCAAGGAATATAACCCTATAGAGGGTATGACACTTCAAATTTTCAAGGACTAAACAAAAATTTCAAGGGAATCCAAACCTCAAGATTTGACAAGTAGAGAATAATAACAAGGCGTGATTTGCAAAAGAGATTCAAATAAATACAAAAATATAAATTTAAATTATTCAAAAAAACATTAATGGTGGAATATTTTTTAACGATCGATGTTAAAAATAAAATAAATAATGTTTGTGATAATTTTATCAAAAATAGTTTGGTTACCGAGGAAGAAAAAAAAATAAATAGATTGATGATATTAATGATGTAGCTTAACCATAATTTGTTTTTACGTTTTTATCATAAATTTTATTATATACAGAGCTATTAAACCTATAGCAGTAAATGCTATGAGACGCAAAGTACTATTTGATGAATTCCAAATTTTAAAGTACGGGAAAAGATGTTACAATACATCTAGAAATGAACAAATCATCTACTTGTTCTTTAGCCCTTTTTTCATAATACATACCAAAGGATGTACAGGTGACTACTGAAGCCGAATTTGGCAGCTGCTGATTGCTTGACATGGACGTTTATTATAGCAGAAATTCGCGTATTCGGACCGGCCTCTTCACGGCATTGGTAAAACCCTGTACATTTCAATACAAATTTGAATGTAAAGTGAGTATACCATTGTTTAAGATATTATAGAGATTTGAGACATTCATATGATTCCTGCAATGTTTTTGATGAAAAGGTAAGCATCAAATGCTGTTACCCAAAGAAAAAAGGGGAATGCAATTCAAAACAAGATTTTGTAGATCAACCCTTTCAGCAGAACCTGTGCCTTACATTTTAACATCACATTCATTCATTGCCATCCAATGTACTAAAATTAAGCTTAATGATGAGAGATTACCTCATTAAATTTAAATAACAGAGGCGCAAATCTCTTTCCAACGTCGCTTCCTTCACTACTGCAACTTCCGCATCCTGTGAACCTTTGCTGCTTGGTTTTCTAAACCTGTATTATCATAACAAAAATTCAGCAGATTATATATATGCACAAACTTCAGAGTTCATATTATCAAAGGATGGGTCATACTTCATATGGCCATCAAAATACAGAAAAAAAGATAGTAATGGTATAAAGTTGAATAACGAGGACGAATTGTCACCAACATGAGCAAGGCTTTTATGCTCAAACTTATACCAAGTGTAACATGGCAATAACAAAAGGAAAAACAAATTATATCAAAATTAAAGAAAAAATGTAATGATCACCTTTGAAAGAAATCAACCACTACGTGGCTTCTTGGAACCTGCAGCAGATTTTTGCTTTGCTTCTGCAGTGGAACTTCTGCTAGAAACAGAAGATGACGGAACTGTCATGGTACTGGGGATTACCTTGCCTTGTATTGGATATATTCTTCACATTTTCAATGATCTTTGCCTGCACCTGCACCTGCACCCTCACTAATTGTTCTAGCAGATTTACCTCCACTGCCTCCTTTCCTACGAAGTCCTGATCTCCCTTGCTGCATCCATCGGTTCTATGCACAGATTTTCCAGTGCTTACTTGTAAAATCTTTTGCTTCTCAACCTGAAATCAGAATAATTACAAACACCTTCACATGTCAGAACACTGAACAGAAGTTTTTTATTTTTAATTTTCCTTATAGAAAAATAACTTGGAAGACTGTAACTCAACATAAAAACATAATGTTAAAAAGTTTATGCTAATAGCTACAAACTTAAAATCAATCCGAGCATAAAGAAAATACTTAAAAAGAACTATAAAATCCTATCTAGATTCTAGACTATAATCTATAAATTGGCCAATTTAACATTTCTTACGGTTGTTTCAAATCAAGGAAAATTTGTCACTTATGGCAGGTGTAGAATGGAAATAGGGAACCAGAAAAATGCATCCAAATGCTAAAGATTTTTTTTGAGAGGTCCAAATGCTAAAGATTAAATCCATGAAAATGGCATCTAACATTTTTTCCCATTGGTAAAATCTTAATTTGAATTGATGAAATTAGCATGCCACTGAGATAAAAATATTTAATCTCTATAAAATTTTAACTCGTTTAACGAGAATCTCCATAATTTTTCTCATCTAAACAAGATGAGTATAGAATGGAACATTGTAAGGAAGCAACAAAAATGTAACATCACTGTTTTGTTTCTCTGGCTGAAGCATGTGCCCTTGAGAACTTCAGAATCAGTTTTCATTGCACCAAAATAAGATTAAGTTTTTCCAGTACAAGTTATATTTTTCTATTGCTTCTTCTAGAATCCCTTATACATGAGAAACATCTCAGCGAGATAGAACAAAAATGCTTATCCTCTAGCTCATATATTTGAGGTCCCCTATTTATAGAATTATATCAAACAAAATGGAAGTAAAAAAATTTGCAGGATTATTTCCAGTTATATAGAAGGTTACATAGATTAAAAGGGATGGTAGTCTAGTGAGTACTGGTCTATTCAATTTGTTTCTCTAAAGCCACCTTCAGCACTAATAACAGTCATCAAGCTATATGCCAAAAAAGACAAGTATCAGCCAACGATCAAACTACAATATCTAAAAAACAGAGCACACAAACTATAACAGATTATCAAGAAACTACATTACATACCTCATGCAATAAAACCTGCTTCATAGCTAAGGCAAGTACATGATGATCTGATCTGTAATCCTGCTTAAATGAGAGAGATAATCAGGTCAGAATCGTGAATTATGAATAATGTTGCTTGCCATTAAACAAAAAGCAGAGTATGAAACCTTGTATGCAATAAACTCGCCAATGGGAGGTTCAAAAGAGAGGGCTGATGCATCTGAAAGTGCTTCATGTCTACTGGACAGCGAATCAGACTTCATATTCTTATAGGTTATAGAATAGGATAACATAACATTAACTAGTTGGGCCAAATTATTCTCTCGGTTTCTGATAGTAAGTGCAATGCCACCTGTTGAAGGCACATTAAAAGCCACAGAAATGAGAAGATGGAAGATCTGCTATATTTTTTTGATAGGAGAATAAAATGAAATTAGAAAAGGAAAATTCTAGGAGCATGCCTATATCCTAATCAAAATATCAAATATAAAAAGATCAACATAAACAATTAATATTGTATTGGTGTGTATTTTAATTTGTAAGAGTTGCCTCTAACAATCCTTTGTTAGACAGACCATAGTTTGCTTAAAAACAAATAAAACATGTGCGGATGGCATACTTAACCATGGGAACACCACCTTTCTACACACCTGCACCTATTGATTGCATCTAGCATTGCCTAAGGCTATACATTTTGCTTACTTGGTGAATAATTCACCTTAATCCAAGCATCTTTAATAACAGTAGCAACCAATTTTAAAACGTTTCTTTGAACTTGTGTACAAGATACAGTTATTTGTTTATACAGTTCAATCAAAAAGCAGATGCAAAGTCCACTGCAGTATTAATGAAAAACTAATTAAAATATAGTGGTTCAGCTAACTCACTAAAAAAGGAATTAATGTTTTGCAGAAAAAAGGACATGAACCATGAGATGAAGGAACCCATTATGTTTGCATGCATTGAGAACTAGCTCAAAAAAAGGGGGAAAAAGATGCAGCCCAAAAGGTAAAAGTAAGAATTAAGTAAATTTAAATCATTACCGGCCTGAAGTTTGGTGGTGACAAGATATGCAACAATGGAGATATCAAGTCTTCTATGCAGGACTTTGTTGATAAATTTCTTGAAATGTATGGTGGAATTTTCTGCTGCCAAGCCCTTAAAATATTTGTCTTTTCCATCAGCATTGTCCGGAATCTGAAGAGTGCATCAAATACAATATTATAGACTGTTAATTCTCAATGTTTGACATGTGGTTCTTCAGAACTTGGGCATGGAATAGAGATTACCTTTGAAATGACTTTGGCACTCAAGTGTTGGTTTTTGGACTTGGCCAACTATCCGATGCAAAGTAATTGCAACAGAAGGTTGATAAACTGCAGTGAAAGATAAAATCAAATTAGTGTTTACTGGCAAAAAACATGCCTGGGATTTGAAGGTTGCACTGCATATGTTCACCTGAAGGGACATTTTCTGTGTCCGCATAACATACTGTTGAATTACATCAGAGATGCCAAGAGAATTCAAGCATTTGACCTTGAATATCATGAGTACATGGTAAGGATTTTATTGTAAAAAGATAACAAGGTAGTGCACAATATCGTATTGCCATATGAATATCTACAAATACTTCATATGAGTAAACCATACTGTCTTATGCATCACTGGATCATGATACTGGAGTTGCAAAATGTTTTCATGGATCCCATCGAAAATCACGTCATAATCACCACTGCAAAGTTATTGATAAGTTAAGGTTAGAAGAAATGGAATTAATTCAACCAAAGCAAAGGGCATATTGGCCCACTACAAGGATCATCACATCGTTTTGAGAAAAACAAAAATTACAAAATAATAATGCTTAAAAAAATTGTGATAAAAGACATTCAAAGGAATCTAATATCTACCGGTTAGATATGAGCGAATGCAGAAAGTCAAATTCGCCATAGGTACTTCCAGAACAAGTGTTAGATTTTCTGTCCCGCTTTGTTCGTCTTTTTTGAAAAATCTGGAGGACAGCATCTTCAAGTGAGAAAATGCTTCAAAGGATAAATAACTGAGACAATTGCAAAGGTGGCCACTACCATACCTCTCTCCATATGTCAAAGCACTTTTTGAGATGTCCTTTCGACCAACCACTTGTGAACTGATGTTCATCTGGAAAGAGGAAACCTTTATATAAGGGGATAATTCTTTGTAAATAAAATAAAACTATTCCAATTTATAGTGGTTTAAGATTGTCTCTTCCTAACCAATGTAAGGTTAGGGCTTCCTTCGATGAGTTCCATCTATGTGAGGTAAAAATTGAAACAAGGATAAAATTTTATCAATCGAAGCAGGTTTTCTCGTGAATGGTTAGGTGACTCAATCCACAATCCATGATCTTAACAACAATTCTATCTTAGCTGGAAACATAATTCACCAAATTTTAAACCTTTTTAACTTCACTCTGAAATTATTTAGATTAGTGATACCCTACTGCTACGATGTTACATTTCTTAATGAATGTATTAAAAACCAGGAGAAGACATAAAGGTCTTACCCCATTGAGGGCTTCCTTCTTCTTGTGGAGAAACTGAAGAGTGTTTAGACATGACCTTATATCACAATCTGAAACATTTAACACGGGAATAAATATTAGTACATTAAAACAGGCAAGAAGAAACACAATTAAATTAGTTCAGGCTCAGATATAAAAAATGGAATCAAGAGATTAGACTACAAAAAACAAAGGCTTAAATAGAACCACAACCAATAGAAATAAAAGAAAAGAAAAAGCAATTCGGAGCTAGAGAAGCTTTAGTGAAAATATGAATATCCTGACTAATGGAAGTAAAAGAACAACATCAATAACAAGCACAAAAACTCACCAGTGAACTCTGCCAGTGCAGTAAGGGCAATGGAACTTGTTTTCATTCCCTCCTTATTACAAATGTATTTAAGCCTATAAACACATGTTAATAGAAATCAGGCTCAGTAATTAATCTGTCTTCCTAGTTTTGTGTATATTTTCCATCACACAATCAAGCTGCATTGGAAGAATAGCTAATTAAAAGAAGGAATATCTAATAAATATGTTAATTTCTTTTTTAAGAACAATTACGTAATGAGAACAGCGGAAGAAACTTAAAGCATTATAACCACTAAGTAAAAATACTGTAGACGAGTCACCTGCTTACTACACGATTCACTGTTGGCTGGACAAATATATGAACCCTGTAAAATATTCGGTATATCATTAGGAGAATAATTTTAAGCACCTCAAAACTTCACCAAGGAAGGAAAAAAGGGGAAATTTCTATGGTATGTCACACAAACATGGAAAGGGAGCTTGTATAAAACCATCAATAAGAAAATTTGAAACACATACAAAAAAACAAAAGCACGAGTAATCAAAAATAATTCATTTAAAAGGCAATCATGTGCAGTAACATTAAACAAGAGGTCAAAAGGCATTTCATCAACACTAGTTGCACCAGAAAAGGCATTAAACAAGGAACAAAAAAACTTCTGTGCCTACTAATGCAGAACCAATGCAACTTCTAAATTTAATAATCTTTCCTTTTTGAGCCGAAATGCCAATAAAAAGGAAAAAATATTGTTGAAAGCGATCCTTAAAATTCAGGCAAAAGAAATAAAGAGCTAGTAAACTTGCCAAGTGATTAAGCAAATAACAATATCATTAACACTAGTTCAAAATCATCAACATGTTCATTATTGTAGACATCGACAAGAACTTACTTTGCTATCTGGCGCAATGGTCTTAAGGCAGGTGCATAGAGGTCATTACATATGCAAATCACCTGCATATATGGCCCAAAAATTTAGCGGCACCTACAAAAATATTACTGAACAGTGCAAGTATGGCATTTCAAACTCACAGGTCTTGTTAGAGATGCAGTTTTTCCCTTAGAATCATTTTCCTTCCCAAAAGCACGCTTCCTTTCAGCAAACACCTGCATTCAGTAATTGTATAATTGATGAACTGTACAGAAAAAAAATAAAGCCAAAATAAATAAAGTAGTTGAATTGGAATCCTTAATGCAGGAAGTTAAGGCAACATAAAAGCTATTCAAAATACAATTACCTATAGAACACCTATCAAGAAACCAAGAAAATTATCATATCAATCAAAAGAATAAAGAAATAGACTCAAATAAAACATATGACTAGCTATGCCGTTGATCAGATCAGATGCAAACTTAAAATTCTTGCAAATTGTGTGAATTTTGATATAATTCAATAAAAGGCTTATAGAATTGTAGTGATGTACCTCGTAGAACACTAATTTAACAAAGATTATCCTATAGCTTGTGCTAACTTACACGATACTAGCAAAATAAAAAATAGGGATTCTTCAGGGAATATTTTGGCATTTCTTTTGAATAACTAAAAGTAAGGTTTTAATTGAGCCAAGCTCAAGCTCCTCAAATTTGAGGCTCAAAGCTTGGCCAAAGCTCGAAGGAGTTTTATTTTTAAAGCTCAAACTTGGGTCTACATAAACATCGAACTATTCAAACTCGCTCAATAAATTTACCTTGTACAAATTGAGATTGATTCCCACAGCCAACTTGAAGCTCAATTAATAAATTAAAAATTAATATATCTCAATTAGCCTTGTGGGTTACTTTTGAGTCGAGCATTAGGACACTCGAATTTGATACACTTGACATCTGAGATGCTCGAGCTCACTCAGCAATGATTGAGCCAATTTCTGTTTTTTTCTTTCAGCCGAACCTATGTATCTTGTGAGCAAATATGTGTTATTAACACACCTAGTAAATTAAGCTTTCTACTACACAACAATTTAAAGTTGACTGAAAGAGAGAATATAAAGCAAAGAGCCTATTTGAGATTGTTTGAGTATGATCTAGTAACTAGATGCATGACCAAAATATGCTTCACGAAACCACGGGACATCAACAATGGGAACAATGCCATACCATCTTCAAAATAACCTCTACAGCACCTTCCCATCACCAAGAGCTCCATCTATTTCATCAATCACCTACAGAACAAATCAACTAACTTTTATTTGGCTCCAGCATGCAAAAAGAATTATGAAACTTTCAAAAAGACAAAATTAATAACTAACCAGACATTTGGGTCTCGCATCAGCCATGACAGAGTTCATCTGAACCACATCAAGGATTTTCGCTTCAATTGTAGATGTTGATCGATCATCACTAGCATTAACCTACATAGAACTCTTATCAAATACTGAAAGCCACTACAGAAGTAACGCTCCAAAACCAGATGCTAAAAGTTCATGACTTTATGCCATACTTAATAATCAGGTGAAAACTATCGTGCTAGGCATATCAATTCAGATAATATAATCCTTGAGAAAAATTCACAAGGTATCCATGACTTTATATGAAATCGTTTTTAGCCAATTAAATTCACAAAATACTTCCTCTATGTCAAGTGAATCATATTGAATGCATGGTATCATAAAGGCAATCAAAAGCTGCTTAATGCAATGGTTTAATGCCAACTTTAGCCAAAATTCTGCAATGTTGATGAATCTATGGAACCTTGTACGAGTAAAAGGTAAACACAATTACCTCCACAACACGGTATCCACAATGTTGTGCAGCTACATGTGCTAATGTAGTCTTTCCAAGCCCTGGGGAACCGCATAGCAAAAGAATCTGCAATTTTCATAAGATTCAATTAATGATGGATTTCAAACTTAGAAGTTGATGATTAGCACTAAAAAATACTATGAAGCAAATAACAATTTCTAATCTACTTGAAATGCATTTACTTGTTATTTTATTTAAGTTCACCAAACAATATAAGAAATGGATGGTTTCTCAACCAAGGAATCCATGTTAATCATCATACATCTATAGTGTGCATAGTAACATACCAAAGTTTTGGAGTAAACCATCTATTAAGTTGAAAAGAAAAGGAAAAAAACACTTTTCAACTGACATGCAGAGATTTTAAGTATAGCAAACAGCAAAGTGAATCAGAGTTAACAGGAAAAATCAATTTTATTTGTGAAACAAGTACTTAGAAACAGTCACTGCTCTTTGTAGTACATAATCTAATAGAGAAATCTCTATCTTGTGAGAATTCTAAGGTTCAAGTTTGGTGCTAACATGATATGATTTTATAACTTCTCAAGTCATTGAAGGAAATGTATTAACAGGGAGGTTTGGCGTCGACAATGAAATGAAGGAAATATCTCAACCAAGACCAAATTCTCTCAAATATACCATTGCTTACCTTCTGTTCAGGTGGACCTGTGAGCCTTGACTTTTGTTCCACACATCCTGCATACCTTTTGCATTATTGGTCCCGTGATCCATTTCATTAATGGGTCTGTAACTTCCTCCACTCCATCTATGTCCTCTACTCTTTCTTGAAAAATCTGAATCAAAAGATTTTGATGTTGAGTAGAAGAATGTCGCTTGAGAGCTGACAAAACTTCATCTGAGGTACTCCTAATATCAGATCCAAAAACACATGAATCCCACTGTTTTAACCACAATAGGACCTGCATGTAAACCTCCATCAGAATATGATCACTAATAATATAGCTCGAGGAGGGGAATTAAAATAACTAGTCTTCATGAACTATTTATGTAACTACTAATGTACCTCGCGATTGGTTTGTTCATCACTAAGGAGCTCAGTGAATGAACGAGGAGCATTTGTCGACCCAAAGTTGTTCGTGGACCACAGTCATATCAGGAAGTGTTCTATCATTCTGACATTCAGAACTTGCTTCCAAAGCCTTCAATACCCACCAAATGAATTTTTAGAAACAATCTTTCCGTAACAAATTTTTTAAAAAAAAAACATGCAAACCATTATTAATAAAGCTAAGGGCTCAAATTCAATCTAGTTAAGCACTACACAAATTGGGAAAAAATGCTAAACTAGCTAGCAACTATTGTAACATAAAGAGGAATTTATGGTTGACATGAATGTTCTATAATTTCCTTTAGTATGACTTTTAAATTTGGCAAATTTCAACAAGAATATAATCTTCACTTTGTTTTCCACACGTTCTCCTATTCATATTAGAAAGATTGTCAATACAATAGGATTGATTAGGTGTGGCAGACTCCAATTCCAAAAATACACTAACTCATGTAGGCACAAAAAAGTTAACATCTTCAAAATCAGTTTAACATCCTAATGATTTTCGCGAATAGCAATGTACCTTGGCAAAAGCCTCCTGCTCGACTCTTTGCAATAGAACATTGACCGGTTCAGGAATAAGGGCTGCAAAATATTTAAACAATAATATTCAAGAAAACATAATAACCATAGACTGTAGTTCAGAATTTTCTTTCTAATTATCCCAAAATTTTGCATAAACTACCGTTAGATCGATCTTTGATATTCAATTTCTTTAATCCTCCATCTCCCTGCGCTCTGCTAATCTTCGCATAAACTCTTTCACCACCACTCGGCGCCGTTATGGGCACGAAATCGCCATCAATTGATGACACGTACCTCGACAAATAAACTTCCTCGTCCTTTCCATCTGCGACCGCAACATTAGTTTCCTGTGGCGGCGAGTGCCGTAGCCAAGCCTCTTCTTCCTCCTTTTCCTCCTCCTCCTCGATCTCAAATCTTTTGATTCTCTTGTTCTCCTCGGGAGGAGATTCGATGGCGATGCAGTCTAAGGGGCGTTTTGGACCATCGGTTTCGAGGTTTTTTGAGGGCGGTGATTGTGGAGGAGAGGGATCCAACGGAGAAGAATCTACGTAGGTTTCTTCGTAAAAAAGGGAGTTGGCTTCGAGTAACTCGAGCTCTTCTGGAAGCGGAATGTCCATATCCATATCCATGGAGCGAAGTGCCAGTGCAGTGAGTCAGTTCGGTGAGAGATTGGAAATGATTTGGGAGCATTTTTCTCAATTTTATTTTCTTCAGTATTTTTGGCGGGAAATTGGAAAGGAAGGCGGTAAGATATTTTTGTAATTCCCAATATGCCCCTCTATACTTCGGGAGATTTGTGGGTGGGTTAGATGTCTATGTATATCTGATTTTCATTCCCCCCCCCTACATTTAGGTTAATGAATTTAAATATTTATTATTTATTTTAAAACATTTTAAATTTAATATTTAGGTTAATCAATTAAAATACTAACATTAAAAAAATAATGAATCAAACCACACTAAAATAATAACATAATAGTATTTATAATAACAACATAATCGATGGCGTGCGTTATTTTCAATTGAAATATTAATAATTTTATACATTCAATTAATTTAATTTTAACTTAAATATTTAATAAATTTAACATTTCAATTTATAAATTTCATAACCGAGAACATCATCTCAACAACAAAAGGAGTAACATCCCATTAGTTCAAATGAATCAAAACCCTTCAAATCTTTCATAAAAATATATGAACATAAACGACGATTATCGTCGTTCGATATCATGTATGATTGATTTAATATTTATATGACTCCTGTTATATATTTTTATGTTTTTTGTCATCGGTTCATTTTGTAGGTATAAAAGTTTCATATTTATATATTAAAAAAAGTTTTGTATTTATACTAATGACAATAAAATATAAAAATATGATGATAATTAATTGGAATATGTAGCTTATTTAAAGAATTAAATATAAATCAGAAATTCCTTGTCCCATTTTGTTGGGGAAGCTAAATAAATAAAATGCAAAGTTATAAAATCAGTATAGCAGAAATGCAGCATTCCCTCATTTTCCAATTTTCTTCTCCGATCCCATAGTTCCTTCCTTTCTTATCTTTTTTTTTCTTGACGCTTTAATCTCTTTCTGGAAATTGAATTGTTGGTTGTGAAAACTCTGGGGTCAGGGTTTTTGAGAGATGGCGCAACAGTCATTGATCTACTCCTTCGTTGCGCGTGGCACGGTGATCCTCGCCGAGTACACCCAGTTCTCCGGTAATTTCAACACCATCGCCTCTCAATGCCTCCAGAAGCTCCCTGCCAACAACAACAGGTTTACTTATAATTGCGATGGCCACACCTTCAATTACCTCGTTGATAAGGGATTCAGTAAGTTTTTCTTTTTTTTGTTGACGATTCGGGATCTGAATCTTCGTTCGTTCGTTTGTTTATTGTTGGTCTGCCTTATAAATAAATGGTTTGGAATGCTCAACGTGTTTTGTTTATTTTGGCTTGATTTGATCATACAATGATTCAAATTTGCAATCCTTTTTGTTGTTTTTTATGATCTGGCTTCTGTTGACCGGCGATGCATTGCCATTTGTTTAGTCTGGGCCTAGTTTTGATTTGCGAGTTTTCCATTTGAGTTTTCCATTGGAAGAAAATGATGCGCGGGTTCTATCAATTAAAACAATTGATGTGACATAATTGGAGTGTTAATCTTTATTATTTTTATAAATGTGGGATTCAGAGTTAAATATTCCTTTTTTCCCCTCATATATTCCACTTGGTTGAAATTTAATATTAAATACAAATTATGTTTATATAAATTAAATATTTTAATATTCTAAACATATTTATACAATCAATACTATAAAGTATGAATTAAATTTTGTTAAAAAAACTTTAAATGTTTCCAAAATTCGAATATTGAAAATTTAAAAATGATGGCTATTATATAAATCAATTTAAAAAATATATTCCTTTTATGTAAATTTGAAGTTAGTCATCTATTTTGTAATTGATTGAAACCTTATACGTTTACTTTAATTTTATTTTGCATCTTACTTTAATAATAAATTCATGTTTGCATAATCTATTTGTTTAATATTTAACATTTTCAATTAGATACAATAATCAAATTACCTAAGCAATTAAAATATTTATAGACTTATAGTTAAGACTCAGATACTAAACCATTATCTGAGTCAATTACAATAATATTTTGTACAAATGTTTAAATGAATCTTCAAGAATCAATAAAAAAGTATTGTAATACAATTATTTATTTTGTTTATTTGAGTACGAAGAATAAGAATTAAATGATCTCATAAATATAATCTTTAACAAATTCATTTTTATTAAAAGATGGTTTTATTTATATTTGTTGTGCCAATATAAAAAATCATATTTTTTTACATCATTAAAGTTATAGATAGAATATTTTTTTTAAATCTCAAGCTCAATGATGAGATTTTGTGAAAAATATTATAAATACATAATTGTTTATTTGATTTTAATTTTAATTTTATATTCTCATCAAAATAAGTTTTAACAAAATTTAATCCATAATTTATAGAATTAAGTATTTAAATATTTTAGTATATTAAAATATTTATTTTTAATTGATATGAACATAATTGATATTCATAGTAATTTTCAACCAAATGAGATTTAATAATAGAGTATAAGTTGATTTACCATGATACATTGTATGTAAAAAAAAAAATAGAGATAGTTTTATTATATATATAATACGTAAACCTAGTGCTTTGAGTGTGCATCTTACTTGTTCAAATACTGGCTTTCATAACTCCTAGTGTCTTTAATCTACAACAACAACAACAACAAAACCCAATTCTCATATGTATGGGGTAAGGGGGAGGTAGGGTAGTAGGCTGCCCCCAACGCCAGGTTGAGAATAGCTTCCGTGAAAGACCTCCGGCAGTCAGAAAATTAAATATAGATAAAATGCAATGCATGTATAAATAATTACATAAATACATAGCTAAACAGTATTCATATGCAGTCATTAATACCATATGTGCTTCTGTAATGGGGAGTAATCCCTGCAAAATAATCCCTGCGAAAGAATCTCTTTACTGCAACTGTTTAATCTCATTTTATCAAATAAATTTGATGCGCAGCCTACTGTGTAGTTGCTACTGAATCTGCCGGTAGGCAAATTCCAATTGCATTTCTGGAAAGAATTAAGGAAGACTTCTCGAAAATATATGGTGGAGGGAAAGCTGCAAATGCTAAAGCCAAGTCCCTTAATAAAGAATTTGGGTATCAGTGCTTCTATTCCACGTCTGATTTACTATTCTTTTACTTACTGTTCACATGCTGAGCTCTTTATATGTAATAGGTCCAAATTGAAGGAGCATATGAAGTACTGTTCGGAACACCCTGAAGAGATCAGCAAACTTGCCAAAGTGAAGGCTCAAGTTTCTGAAGTCAAGGGTGTTATGATGGAAAACATTGAGAAGGTAATAGCGCCTGTTCTCTATCTATTCTATATTTTTTATTAAAATTTTATTTTCCTCCCTTAACATAGAATCATGTATCCGTCCCTTAATGCAATAGATGATGCTGATTATCTGTTTTATATGTAGTTGAGGGTTAAAACTTGACAAGATGAACAGCCAGCTTTGTATAAATTAACGACTTGCACCGTTGGTTATAGTGTAGGAGTAGATAAAATGCTTAGGGTACCGGGTGGGTATTTCATATGCCATGTTTTATTTTGTTGCTATTGCTTTTCATTTTCCAGGTCCTTGACCGTGGTGAGAAGATCGAGGTGCTGGTGGATAAAACTGACAGCCTTCGTTCACAGGTTAGTCCTATCTGAAGCCGCATCCATGTCAAACTTGGTTTTAGAAATTATAGAAAACTCCTGTCAATCTAAGTTCTACTTTGGGTAAACTACGTTTTAGTCACTTACCTATTCCTACTATTCTGTTTTAGTCACTCAACTATTTTTTTTTTCAAAATCATATTTAATGTTATATTTTGTTTTTCATTGTTAAAAAATAAATAGAATTAATGACGTGATATGTAATTTACCATTCTAATTTAAACATGTAGTCTTACCTGTTCTTCTCGATTCATATAATGTGAATGCAAACAATCAATGCTTAGCACCTAAATCTTTGTTGCTCTGACACTTCATTTATGTTGAAGTCTCCATACTCAACACCCGTTTAGATTCGTATCTGAATACGGGCGTGGGGATGTAACACTTTATTTCAAAGATCCTCCAATATAGAAAAGAAATATTAAAAAAGGTAAAGTATTGTAGAACACAGTGGTGTGTATGCATGCCTTAGTGAGGCTGGAGACTGAAATTTGATTTTTTTTTATAATTATTTATTTTATTAACTGTATTCACCCCGTATAAAAATATTTCTAATGTCATCAATAAACATTGCAGGCACAAGATTTTAAGAAGCAAGGAACAAAGCTTAAAAGAAAGATGTGGTATGAGAATATGAAGATGAAACTGATTGTTTTCGGTCTGGTTTTTGCAATCTTTCTTGTCATGTTTCTTTCCATATGCAATGGCTTCAAGTGTACCGAGTAAATCTTCCGGCGAAGGAGGGATCCCTGGGTGCTTACATATTCGGTTTGCCCTTTCCAAAATATTATTAAAATAATTTTTTCATTTCTTTTTGTTCCACTTATCTTGTAAATATTTTGTATATTGTTATTTGACGGAAGAAACAGAGGTGAACTTCACCAATTTTATCTAAATAAACCTCTATGAATAAGAGGTATAATTTAAACACTTGTTTTCTAATTAAGCCCTACACGAATTGAATTACAATATGAATTTTGAAAAATCAATACATCATAAATTATTAACATATACGATTAATAAATAATTTAAACAGTCATGACATAAACAAACACAAATAGAAATCAGCCACCATTATTCAAACCAAAGCAAAAACTATAAAGAAAGTTGAGTTCCATTACAGACCATGCATATGTATGGTTTCACAATCCACCAGTTCAAATCTTCTTTGGACCCTTTCACCCAAGGTAATAAGGGGTGCCAAATACATGAAAGTTCTAATATTCAATCCATCTTTATCACCAAATCAACTACACAAATCGATACCGACATGTGGGACATAACCATATGCTTAAATATTTTATACCATTGGAGCAACGGGTCTCGAGATCTACCTGTACGAATCCAGTCGCTTTGG